TTTACAGTGTCCGCCCCTCCCCCCCCCCCCGAAGAAAGTCTACCGCCACCTCCCCCGAAAATTTCAAGTGACCCCCCCCCCCCCCCCCGGGGAAAAAAGTCTGGAAGAAAACACTGTAGTCAGCTAAAATAAAATGACAACTTCGTTTCAAAGAGAACCCTAATAATTCCTATTTCTATTCATAGAAATATATAGATCTATTACATTTTCTTTATAATTTCTATGAATACATGTCGTGATTCTATTGAATAAGATTACCAACTTGTGATATGAAAGATACGATAACAATGTACCCGTCGCTACATGATCGTGTTTATGTCGTGGAGCATCCTTTCGTGATTGGTGCCTCAGTGGTGCAGTGACGTGCAGAATTAAAGACACAACAACATTCTCGGTCAACATTATCACAACGCGTATTTCTGTGGAAGGCCATTATCATTGGAGACTAAAACAATTTTTTAACAATGTAATAAAAGCCAAAAAAACATTTTTACCTCCACTTCCCTTCGTCACACATCATCACATCATTACGACCCATCCAGAGGCGTAGCGAGGGGAGGGGGGGGGGGGGGCGGGGGTGCGGACCGCACCGGGTGACACCATTTAGGGGGGGTGACACCAAGGCAAAAAATAGCAAAATATATAGAGAAAAATTTGAGAGGGGAGGGGGTGCAAATCAAAAGTTTGAGGGGGGTTGCAAATCGAAAATTTGAAATTTTTTCCCCGGGAAGGGTCGCTACGCCTCTGGGGGTGACAACATTAAGTGCCGCACCGGGTGACACCCGACCTCGCTACGCCACTGGACCCATCCTTCCCAATAGCTAAAAAAGAAAAAAACTCTCTTGCATTTTTACCCTCCCCCCCCTCCCTCCCCTCTGTCACACATCGTCACCAAAAACCAGACCCCCCCCCCTAATATGAAGTCACACCTCAGCATACTACACCTCCCTCCCCTGAAAGTTGCAGTTTAACAGTTTTAAACATTGATTTCTTTCTATAATATTGATTAACCTCTGTCAACATAGAGTATTTTCATAAATTTATTAAAACAGTTTTCTAAAACGCAAAATAACTGCTAAAGTTTAGTTTCTAACAATGCTTTTTTAAAATGCAAAAGTGTGACGTTACACTATTTGAAACCCCCCTCCCCCTTATCACACATTGTCACAAAATTATGAACCCCCTCCCCCTATGAGTGTGACGTCATTTATGGCGAGTTGTTTGGTTATATCCTTAATGAAAAAGAACAAAATTGACGCCAATAAAAACAACAACTATAGACTATCAATTTTTTTTAAAGATTTAACTGCCTTGTTCTCGGCCTACTACTGCACATTAGAGTTGTAAAGGTAAACAACCCACTTGTTGAGTTACAAGAATTTACTAGAGTAGTTTCTCTTGTTTTCTGTTCTACTTCCGATTTGTCATTGTATTTTTTTTTTGTATTGGTTTTTTTCTTTACACTGTCGTGTGCCGTATTTCTTGTGGTTTGTGTGTAATAGGACAACTAGGCTACTGTGTGATAACCGCCAAGTGCCACTTTTATGTGCCAAACACAAGTTAAGGCCCACTGTACGGACTGAGTTACAGCATAACTTAACAAGTTAGTATCAATTTCAGAAGTTGTTCAATTTGATGATTTATCTGATTTTGATCAGTGTCTCTGTCAGTCAGTAGATCTATGATTTTGATTATTTAGTATTTAGATCTAGATCTAGATCTAGATCTAGATCTAGAATCTAGAATCTAGATTTAGATCTATCTAGATCTAAATTCTATATCTAGATCTAGATCTAGAATCTTAGATCTAGAATCTAGAATAATCTAGATCTAGATCTGGAATCTAGAATCTAGATCTACTGATCTAGAAATCTAGACTAGAATCTAGATCTAGAAAATCTAGATTCTAGATCTAGATTTCTAGATCTAGATTCTAGTGACAATTTAATCAATTTTCAATTTAGTCAGTGTTAGAGTTTGAGTCTGTTATAATGTGTCTGTGTAGTCTCAGTGCTGAGTGTGGGTGTACTTGAGTGTAGGGCAGGCCTAAGCAAAAGTTAAAGTATAATAAAGTATTAAATCAGAAGAGTCTCTGGACTCTAGTCTAGATGTATATTCTAGTTCTAGACTCTAGATCTAGAATCTAGATCTAGATTAGAAACTAGACTCTAGAATGCTAGATCTAGTAGATATCTACTACTGGATCTGGATCTAGTTGTAGATATTCTGATATCTTAGCCCAGATCTAGTCGACTTAAAGTAGTCCAGCTAGATTGAGATCTATATCAAATTTAATCTTCAAAATATAATAAGGTCCAAAAATCCTAATGAAATAATTTATCCCCACCCCCATCTGTTCTAGATTTATAGATCTAGTTAAGATCAACTATTGACTGTAGTCTTCATAATTATTTATTTAGTTAGATTATTCTAGATCTAGTATTAACTGGTGTGTACTTGTCTCACTGTACAGCGCACAACAGAATGTGTGTGTAAGTATTTTACACTTTAGGCGTACACCCACTCAGCTAGTCAACTATTGCGACAAGGCACTGCACTGTGTAGAGTAGATTTTAGATTCTAAGTCTAGCCAGAACTGAACTGTAGGGATGGCGTGGACGTGGTTGAACAGTAGATCATTTGATTGCTTACTTGGAAGTCCACCCAACTCTGATGGGTACATGACTCATGTTAGGGAAAGCACAAGCATGGCATAGTACTGACCACACTGTCCCTACATACAAAGAGGGCCTGCCCTATGGACCGTAAGGTTCAAAGAAAACTTTACTTTTTATACTACTGAACTGTGCTTTATACTCTTAATTACTATTAGAAATCAGTATAATAATATATATTAGATAATATTATTTATTGGTCCTAATTTGTTAAGAACTGCTGCTAACTTTTAGAAATAAGTGAGTCATTAGAGGGAAGTATTGTTCTGTTCTATAGCTTAAGAGTTGAGGCAAATATTGCTACTTGAGAATAGGTTAGTGCTAGGAAATAATAGTAGCAATTTCAGTACAATGTTATTGCCAGTTCCCTAAGGATATTGCATCCACTAAATTTGCTTATTCAAGACACCTTGTTTTGCCATACTATTACTTAGGTAGTTTTCTTTTTCTATTTGTAGTAAATTAAGAAATATAAATTCAAGTTAGGATTATATAATTTCTGTACTATTGTTTATCTTTTTAAATTTTTTGTCTATTATACCATACTATTATTACAATTTAAAAGGCAATCAATAATGCTACAGAAACTGTTTGATGCTTTATGTTTGTCTTGCTTTTAAAAAAAAATTACCCTAGATAGTTATTCTGCTGTGAGATATTTCGTTCATCGTAGCTTTTGTCCCGCTATATTTTGTTGCTAGATATTTTGTCCTGGAACCGGTCTAAACATCCAGAGTACTGTTTTGTCATCATTAAGTTCAGTTCCATAGTGGGGATCAAAGTATAAACATGTCCTGCAACCAGTAACTTAATGAAGTTCTTCTTTGTTTGACAGCATGATATCTTGTTGTGGAATGTTTGTAAAGTTTGTGTTGTCTATCTTCCCTATTTCCCTGAACAAACTGAAAAATAGAAAAACTTTATTAACCAGTGTTATAATTTCTAGCCTCCCCCTATCAAAATATCCAAAAGAAACCCTGATTATATCTAAAATCAGGGGAATAAAAAAAATTTTGCTATAGAAAATGGCAGTTTGATTAAATCAAATGTTTTTGACAGTTAATCAATTTTAAACAATGACTCATCTTGTTTGGAGTGCATGTTTCTGTACAACTCATCTTTCAACTGCCAACACTTTGTTGATGTTATTGGGCAGCTGAACATATCAGGCTCACCCACCTGTTAGCAGCCTAGGCTACCTTCTATTAAATTAAACAGTGGTCATCACTGGCCAGGTACCAGGTCAAGCCAGGTCAAACATTGACAGGTGTCAGGTATTTTAATCAGGTGGGGAGTTCACCAGCTCAGTCAGAGGCTAGTTTGTGTGTTGGACCTTTGTGGAGTCAATCTCACCATCACACAGTACAGTTTGTTGAGTGTATAGGACCTCTGTGTGATATGTAGGACCTATGTGTAGTCAATTTCACCACCACACACTACTGTTTGTAGTGTGTCTTCCCCTACATTGAATAGTTTTTAAGTGTGTGTAAAACATCTATGTTGTGTTTTGTAGGACCACTATGTAGAGTGTGTAGGAATACTGTGTTGTATGTGTAAGACCTCTGTGTAGAGTGTATAGTACCTCTGTATAGAGTATGTAGGACCTCTGTAGAGTTGTAGGACCTCTGTAGAGTTGTAGGACCTCTGTGTAGAGTGTGTAGGACCCCTGTGTAGAGTGTGTAGAGCCTCAGTGTTTTGGGTGTAGGACCCCTGTGTAGTGTGTCCATATCCACATAGCACAACGTTAGGTTGTGTGGTCTATCTCTATCACCCACATAGTGTGCCTTAAAGTTAAAACCGCCCACAAGGGAAGAAACTACCTTATTTATCCCCATCAGAAATTTATATTTGAATTATCCCCATCTCTGTTACACCCCCGTCCCCCAACAAAAGATTAGTTTTATCGATGTGGCCTTTACGTTTCTCATCAATCTATATAGAACACACATTAACCTAATTATCACGAGTGAGTAGTGCGATGATATTACCCTATCTGGTACATGTGTGCTCTCAAGGGTACACAGAGGATCTCAAACGGTGAACAGCAAAGTGTGCTGGTTTAGATCTCAATATTTTTGGTTCCTCAGGTTCGATGGAATCTACTAATCACAGACCTAGCTGGGGAGGGCTGCCAAATATAAAATCGAAAGTTGTATCCCGACCATTATTACTGTAGAAGTTATGTTTTTTCTCAATTTTTATGGAGGGGGTTATATATTGAATTGAGGTTACTGGCTGAAACTTTTTAGATCTAGAAATAGAAAAAAAAAAGAATTTCTGTTGATAGCGTTAAATAGTAACAATGAGCAGGACACCCCCCCCCCCCACCGGTTATTTCCCTCCAATCGCCCCCCCCCCCGCATAAAAAACTGCAGTAGGATATCACCCCGGCCATTGAGAGCTATGTCTCTTTCGTCTAGTGCAGGGGTCTCCAAACTACGGCCAGCGGGCCGGATTTGCGGCCCGCGAAGTCCTCTCATCCGGCCCGCGGAGATCTTTTTGTCCAAGGAAAAATCGTTTGTTGGTGATAGCTGAGGAACTTTGGCCAAAAAAACCAAAGACATGCCTGGGAGAAACTCCCCCCCCCCCCCCCCCCCCCGAACTGAAATTTGATAGTTAATGCGACCCTCGGATTCAAAAGTTTGGAGACCCCTGGCTCTAGTGAATATTTTGTTTAACCCACAACCAACTGCTTACCTCTTCCTTTACATCTCCCAGGAAATGGTCTACACCTAAAGGTTTTCTCTACAATGAATGGTTTACTGCCTTGTGAAGTGAACATTTACACGAGTCTATACAGTAGTTTCTTTTAATCTTTAGTTTTTTGCCTTGTTTTAAAATTGAGTTGTAGAGATATAAAATCTGAGTCTAGACCAAATAAACAGAGCTTATAGTTTTTAAAGGGTTTGAAGTTGTTGTTGTTTTTTCTAGAAAAAATATGTTTCTCGTGCTCTGTTGTTTTATAAAACTGAATTCTATCTTGATCAGGTCTAGACCAGACATCAGGCAAAACATTTTTAGATGTTTTTCATTAATTTTTCTTTTTTTTTTTTTTTTTTTAAAGAGGTGAAATGCTTAGATGCTAGACATCCGGCCATAAAGATATACATTTGTTGCGAACACAATTTTTTTTACTCTTAATGTGTTTTTGTAGCCCGTATTTCATGTTGTTTTTCTGTTGTTCTGTCTGGAAATTTATTTTGTTTTGTAAGATTTACAAAAAATAATTTTTTTACATTTACTTAAAAGCCCGCGGTTTGAATCGGCGTAACAATACCCACAAGGACAGCGATAAAACGCACGATGACCAATACCGACGTGTCGAGTTCGTTTCATATCCGTAGGTCGTCCCCGAGTCTACCCAGCTCTGATGGGTACCTGGCCCTACTCGGGGAAAGTAAAGCAGATATTCATTGACTCAAGTAGTACTCACTTTGTTGGTTGCGTTGTCTGTTTACAGCCCACACCGCCCGTAGCTTTTTATCTCATTTACCCAACACCACTTTAAGCACGGCGCGAGTCTCGGGCTAGAGGCTACCATATTTACATGAATAACCTGATCACTTGCTAGACACAACCTCAATACACAGTACCTGATAACTTCATAGACACAATACGATTACACAATACCTGGTTACTTCATAGACACAACCCCATTACACATTACATGATAACTTCATAGACACAACCCCATTACACATTACATGATAACTTCATAGACACAATCCCATTACACTATACCTGATTTCTTCATAGACACAACCCCATTACACATTACATGATAACTTTATAGACACAATCCCATTACACAATACCTGATTTCTTCATAGACACAACCCATTACACATTACATGATAACTTCATAGACACAATCCCATTACACATTACATGATAACTTCATAGACACAATCCCATTACACAATACCTG